CTCATAGCATTCTTTAAGGACATGGAAAAAACAATCACTAATTTCCTATGGAAAGGAAAGAGACCTCAGATAAGCAAAGCACTACTGAAGAAGAACAAAGTAGGAAGTTTCATACTCTCTGATCTCAAAACCTACTATACAGCCACAGTAGTCAAAACAGCCTGGTATTGGTACGACAGACACACAGACCAGTGGAACAGAACTGGGAACCTAGAAGTAAAGCCATTCACATATGAACAGCTCATCCTCAACAATGGCCAAAATCTATTAAATGGGGAAGAGACAGTCTCTTTAACAAAAAGTCCTAGCAAAACTGGATATTCTTTAGCAGAAAAATGAAACAAACAGAAGATAAACTAAATGCCTGGGACCTTCTAAAAAACCAAATTCTTAAGTGCATCAAAAGACTTCTCCAAAAGAGTGAAAAGAGAACCTACAGATTGGGAAAAAATATTTGGCAAATACATACCCAACATAGGATCTACCTCTAAAATTTATAGATAACTTCAGCACCTCAACATCAAAATAACAAACAATAAAGAAATAGGCAGAAGACATGAACAGACACCTCACCAAAGAAGATACTCAAGCAGCCAACAAACACATGAATACTCACGATCATTAGCCGTTAAAGAGATGCAAATCAAAACAACAGGATACCACGTAACCCCAGCAATAACAGCAAAGTTCAACAAGATGAAAAATAACAAATCCTTGCAAGGATGTGGAGAGACTGGAACTCTCATACACTAGGTGGAATGGAAAGAAGACTAAGCAATCTACTTTTGTAGAGGTACCGCCTTGGAAACCCAAGGAGGGGTCACTATGAGTCAGAACTGACTCGACAGCAGTGAGTTTTATTTGGTTTGGTAGAAAACAGTATGGTACTTCCTTTAAAAGTTGGAAATAGAAATACCATTTGATCCAGCATTCCAGTATATATCCTAAAGAAGTAAGAACCAAAAAACAAATAGATACATGCACACTCATGTTCATCACAGCACTATTCACAACAGCAGAGATGGAAGTAACCTAAGAGCCCATCAACAGATGAATGGATAACTAAACTATGCTACATACATAAAATAGATACTACGCAGACTAAAGAATAATGAAGAATCCACAAAACACCTCATAACATGGATGAACTTGGAGGACATTATGCTGAGTGAGTAAGTTAATCACAGAAGGACAAACATCGTATGAGTCCACTACTGTAAAACTTCTAAGGAAAGGTTTGCATATGGAAGGAAAGTTTCTTTGTTGGTTACCAGGGATGGGACAGGAGAGGAGGGAAAACTGCTAGATAGGTAAGAGACAAGCACTGATTTGGATGAAGGGAAAAGTAATATACCAAAAGCAAGTGACAAGCAAAATAACAATAAGGAAAAGGAAGACAAGGAGAGAGGCACATGAGGTACAGACAACAAAGGTAAACATATTTACATACACAATAGTGCATTATCAGTAATAACAAACATTAATCTATAGGTGGATACACAGGTAAAAACCACAGCAATCCCCACAGGGTTTCTAAGGCTGTAAATCTTTATAGAAGTAGATTGCCTCAACTGCCTCCCCAGGAGCAGCTGGTGGGTTTGAACTGCTGAACTTCTGGTTAGCAGCCAAACACCTTACCCACTGTGCCAGCAGAGTTCCTGTGGCTACAGGCTAAATTATAGATATGGTAGATAGGCTGAATGATCAAATATGGCTTGGCAAAAGGTAATATACCCATGACCACATATAAATTTGGCAGATGATATTTCTACATATGTATTTTGTATGTGCTGTAAGAATGTCCATATATATAACAGAGCTAATGGTTTAAAATTATGACAACTTCTTAAGCCAAGCCAAATACCTTGAGAGAGTGAGTTGCAGAGCCTGCAAGCTCTGGACCATGGTCACAGGAGATATCAAACTCAATTGGTATAACATACTACACATAAACATTGTTCTACATCCTACTTAGGTGAGTAGCAACTGGGGTCTTAAAAGCTTACCATCGGCCATCTAAGATGCAACAAATGATCTCTCCTCGTCTTGAGGAAAAAAGACCAAAGAAAATCAAAGATGCATGGAAACAATTACTCCAAAGGACTGGTTGTTGTTGGTGGTGATGTGTGCTGTTGAGTCAAACCCTACTCATAGCAAGCCCTCCTTGGGGTTTCTGAGGCGGTATCACTATGGAAGTAGATTGCCCCACCTTCCTTCCCAGGAGTGGCTGGTGGGTTTGAACCGCCAGCCTTCTGGTTAGCAGTCAAGTGTCTTAGGCACTATGCTACCAGAGCTCCTAAAGGACTAGTGGACCATGTGAATCTCAGCCTATATGACCCTGAGACGAGAAGAACTATATGGTACCCAGTTACCACTGTCAACCACTCAGAAAGGGATACAAATAGGAGATCCTGAAAAGAGTCAGAGAAAAATGTGGAAAAAACTCAAAATCATAAAAAAAGACCGGCTTACTTGTCAGATAAAAAATGATGAAACCCCAGAGACTATGACTCCTAGTTACCCTTCAGGCCTGGAATTGAACTCATTCCCATGGCTTCTAGCCGAACAACAGGCAGGGCTACAAGGTGAACATTTAGACCAGGTAGGTACACTCCTTAGAACAATCAACCATGGGAGATTAGAAGGGCAGTATTTGCACAAGGAGATAGCTCAGAGGGCAAGAATGCATAGGAAAGGACACAAGGAGGAAGTGGGAAGAGAGCTATCATATCATGGGGATTGCAATCTATGTCATGCAACAAAAGGTATATGAACTACTGAATGGAAAACAAATTTGCTGTATAAACTTTCACCCAAATCACAAAAAATGAAAAGGAAAAAAAATAAAATAACACACATAAATGGGGAAGGATAAGAGCAACTGGTACCTCACGACCCCAACAATTTCTGTTAAAAAGAAAGAAAAGGCAGGAGGTAGTGTCTTTCTTTACATGGCCATTCTTTGACATTCAGATATGGCTTTGAAAAAGGTAATATACCCATGCCAGAAATGCTGTCTCCCAGCAATCCTTTCTTCTTTCATGAGATGCCCAGCAAAAATGCCAGTTAGTTGCTAAGATCTCAACAAATCACATCCAGAGCTGAAAACAAATGAAAGTGCCTGACTCTTTTACTCACAGAGGTCAAGGGAATTCCCTGAGTCACGCCCATGGTGGGACGGGCCACGTGTAGCTTTGGTCTGGGCACATACCTCAGCTGTCAGTGCATCACACTTGCCCCCAATGATTCTTTGGATATGTCATGTGAACTGACCACTGTTCCTGCATCACTGACGGGAACAGCAGCTACAAAATCATGTTAAAAGGCAGTATTCTAGTGGGCCCCGACAGAAGAAACTTCTCCACTTTTCCGAACATTCAGCTGACATGCCCTCCCTTACAACTGCCAAATACTGCTGGTACCAGTTACAGGGCCCCAGTATGGCCTTGGATAAGTCACTCTCTTTATAAAATGAAGTACTGATGACCTACCTGATTGGTAGGGTCCCCAATATCTAACACTGATTGAAGGAGATATATGTAGTTCCTAGAGTTTATCTGGAAATACAGTAGAGCAATGATGGAGGGAGACCTCGATTACTATATGCCTACTATGCACTAGACGCTAAGAGTGAAAGCTGACTCTACAATCCCAACCTTCAAGAACAAGAGACAGATCTGGAGACGAAGTAGCTACAGCAGAGTATGATCAGTGTAGCCAAAAGACTGTCGGAACAAAAACAGAAGACATCAGCTTGGCTTGGTCAGCCTAAGGCTTCACAGAAGAAATACTTTAATGAGATAAGAATTGGAAAAGGAAATGAGCTCAAGAAGTTACAAGGAATTCCAAACAGAGGATATGACATGAGCAAAGCAGCAAGGCATAGTCAACTACTCTGGGTTCATCATGGCTGAAATGGGGTGCATCTAGCACAGCAGATATAAATGACACTGAAAAGATTTCAAGAAGTATCTCCAATTCATTTAAATAAGTTTGGCAATGTGACAAAGGGAGAAGACAAAAGTTACTGACTTGTCAGAACAAACTAGATAAGCAAACTGTTTGCAGAAGGAAGTGAGGGTCTTGGGAAGATCCACGCATTTTGTCAAGTCAGCAAGGAAAAGCAGAATACTAAGCCAGGCCCTGGCCCAGGGTTCAGCCCCAGCAACAAGCTTCACCAAGCCCAAGAAAGTGCGGTGAGCTGATGTCTCCCAAAACAAGTGACTGCAGCAAAAGAACGCCCAAACCCAAGGGGAATGCAGAGAGCATGCTCCAGAAGCCAAAGGACAATGCAGTTAGCAGGAGGCAAAACAGATGCCCCAGCTTGCCCTTCTTCATACAGGGCAGAAATCCTGACTCCAGCCCAGAAGATCCCTAAGGGGGTATAGCAGTCAGAGGAGAAGAATTCAGAAAGACGCTTGGCACTCACCACCGTACTCTCATCTCTTTCAATCCTCCACTACCTAACAAAACAACAACAAATCTGAAAGGAAAAAAAAAAAAAAGTAAAGCAAACAGAAGCAGATTCAGAAGGGGAAAAAAAAAAAGGAAGAGATTTAGAGCCTTCAATCTAACCTCATTCAAATACTTTTTTAGTAAGTACCTCAAACTAGCTAAAAAGCAGTAACTACTCAGAAACCCAAGGAAGGGTCACTATGAGTCAGATCTGACTTGACAGCAGTGAATTTGGTTTTTTAGTTTACTGTTTATTAAATACCACTATGTGCCCTTGAAGGAGCTCTGGTGGTATAGTGCCTAAGGCATTTGACTGCTAACCAGAAGGCTGGCGGTTCAAATCCACCAGCCACTCCTCGGAAGGTTGGGCAATCTATTTCTACAGTGATACCGCCTTGGAAACCCAAGGAGGGGTCATTATGAGTCGGATCCGACTCAATGGCAGTGGGTTTTTTTTTGTTTTTTTTTTAATGTGCCCTTGAAGAGCTCTGGTAGCATAGTGCCTAAGGCATCTGACTACTAACCAGAAGGCTGGCAGTTCAAACCCACCAGCCACTCCATGGAAGGGAGACTGGGCAACCTACTTCCGTAAAGATTTACAACCTTGGAAACCCAAAAGGCAACGTTATGAGTCGGGATCAATCACTGCCAACTTGATGGCAGTGAGTGTATGTGTCCTTAAGGAACTCTGGTAGCACTATAGTTAAGGCACTGGGCTGCTAAACAAAAGGTTGGCAGTTCAAACTCACCAGCCACTCCGCAGGAAAAAGACAATGCGGTCTGCCTCCACAAAGATTTACAGCCTTGGAAACCTGAAGGGGGAGGCTATGAATTAGAATTGACTTGATGTCAGTGGGTTTGGTTTGGGTTTTAGTATGTGCCCTTACGACTTAGAAGGCTTAGAATTGACCAAGAATGGTGCTGAAATGCTAGGCTCAACCACAGCAATAACTGTGAGGCTAGTGCAGCAGGACTGAGTAGTGTTTCATTCTGTTGTACACATGGTCGCCGAGTCAGCACTGATTTGATGACATCTAATAACAACAACAACAACATGCCCTACCCTAAACTAGAAATTTTACATATATTTTCTAATTTAACACTCAGAACAATCCTCTAAGATTGCTATTATGACCATTTTATAGTCCAACAGAGGAGCTCTGGTGGCGTAGTGCCTAAGGCATTTGACTGCTAACCAGAAGGATGGTGGTTCAAACCTACCAGCCACTCCTTGGAAGGAA